CAGAATAATTGCGATAGGAGAATTATCCAGTCACGAAAGCAATCGTATGCACTGCCGCACATGTATGTATGCTGTATGTATGTATGTTAAATTATATTAAGACGCTTTGAATTCTGATCGCGGGACACACAGTTGTGGTTGTTAAACATGCACTCTGTTTGAGTTTTAAACCGTACAATTGTTATGTTGGGAACAAAAATAATTACAAATTTTCTCAAGACCCGCTAAGATTTTCAATTCGATATCGAGCTGCGTAGAACATGAGACAACACCAGTACAGTGACGTTCGAGAATTATTTTGTACTATGAATACAAATAATCCTTTTTATGGGTGTTATAACCTTCAATGACCATGTCGCGGAATATTTAATTCTCCTGGGAAGTTTTTTTTTTTATAAAAGACTCTGCTGTAGGTTGCTTTTATAAATGTTCAATATGTTTTTGTCATTTTATAGAAATTCAAAATTTTTAACAGATATTAATAAAACTTAACACAGTTATTTTTTGGACAGTTGTCAAAATCAAATTTAATCATGTGCCAAATTGGTTAATTAGTTTAGAAATTACAGTTCCAAATTTTAACTAGTCAAACTTTTATTGCTTATTTTTGAAAAAAATTTTGAACGCAATTTTTGTTCAAAATTTATTATTGCATTCTTTTTCATAAAAATTCAATTCTTTTATAATAATTCAAGTGATTAATTTAAAAGCTTGTTAATTAAGCTTTAATTTCCATATTTTTCCAATTTTTTACCCCAAAAGTCACTCATATCTCTATCTAATAAATTCTGCAATTTCAAAATAGTAATTAAAGGCCTTTTTTTTCTCAAAAAAATAGCATTTAAATATTTTTCTAAGCTATATATGCAAGGACTGATCTCAAATTATTCAAATTTCTGCTAAATGACCTTTTTAGCCATATTCAAAACTTCAAAACGTTAAATTTTGATCTTACGCTATATTTTATACATCTGGTCTATATCTTAAGCTATATTATTAATTTATTTAATTTTTATGAAAATAATTATCTTCTAATTTTACTTAACCAAAAGTTACTTTTTACCTTTTATTTTTTGCAACTTTCAGGTCCAAAAAATTAACTAAATTAATTCTTATATATATTTTAGTTCTCAAAAGATACATTCCAATTTTTGAACCATCTACTCAAAAAAAAAATTAGCAACTTCCTGCTAATTCCATATCTATAGGCGCTTAAAATTGCACTTATTACATTTTTGAGCTCAAAAATACAATTTATGTGTTATTTTGAGCTTTCCAAGCTTTTGTCTTCGAGGTCAAACTAATAACTTTCCAATTTTTTTAAATTTTCAATTTTCTTAGCGAGAAGTTGAATTAAATCAAGCAAAAAATTTTTCAACTAAGAAAATAATTTTGATAAGATCAATTGTCTTGAATCAAGAAAAAATTTACATAAAATTTCTTTGTTTAAAAATTCTTCTACTTAACTTAATAAAAATGGAATTCTTCAAAATTAATTCCTTCAAAAATTTCTTTTTCTGTATATATAATACCATTTTTCTATTTTAGATAGCCTCTGATCGATCTGTGACCATATTCAACCACCAAATTCCTTATAAAGTCACACATTATTGCATTATCACCGATAAACCTCCAAAATAAGTATGCCAGGAATGCGTAACATCCACAAGTAACAATTGATCGGAAAAATCAAAGATATATTTGGGCAAATATTTTCTTAAGGGATATACTTTGTAAGATCTCATACATAGTACCTCCACATATTATATCTAGTACATAACAAATAAGTATATAAACGCATACAAATACAGAGTTACAATGCGATGCCGAAAGGTCTAGTGGCCAGTCTAGTATACTATATACTACATGCTACTCGACAGAGGTAGTAATAACAATAATATAATAGTAATAGGCTACGTCATAGCTTCTATTCCCACTGGGATATATATTGGGAAGTATAATCTATAGTCTAGTTCTTTTTGCGGCAAGGACAAGTACGCAACGACCAGCTGCGTTTACAATTGACATCCTCTTCTTTGTCTGTTACTATATTCCTCTATGTCTTTATCTTCGTCCATCCTATGACTGATTTTTTTCTGTATAATGGAAGTCGTTGATTTGTTTATTATTAGAGTCAATTATTGTAATTTTATCATACTTAATTATCCAACATATCGGCTGCAATTAGTACTAAGTATTAATTAGTATTAAATATTAATTTTTCTTAATAAAATTAATTAATTAATTGATTGGAAATTTTTGATAGAAATTGTCTATATTTGTGAGTGTTGATTTAGATTAATTTAGTGGGCCTCTCTTTCTGCCTGGGGGCTGCGGAAGAACCGCAGAATTTTTACAACCAGTAAACTACAGCCGGTAGATCCCAAACTGGTTTTCGCGGCCAATTAATTCGATTCTCGAGACACGCCGAAACCCAACGAGACTTTACTTCTAAGATGTTTATGTATATAGATATATACGGCGATTGGATGTATGTAGTATGTAGGCCTGGGGCTTATGGACAAAAAGATAATACGCAAGCCACAAATATATACCCCGCGGAGAAAGCCATTTGTATTTCATTAACCATCAGCAATAGCTGCTCTTAATATTCACCAGAAGACCTAAATCTTTGAAATATCGCGATTTATTAGTTTCTTAAGTTATTTTATGAACCTGGAAAATTTGATCGTTTTTTACGCAAAAAACAACAAAAATGTGAATTTTTTTAAACTTAAAAAAATTTAAATGAAGTTTAAAATAAATTTAAATAATTTTATTAGAAAAAAATCTGGAAAATCGTTTTTTTTTTTTTAATTTTGCAAGACACTAAAAAATTTACAGTGGAAAATTTTTAATTAATTTTTTTAATAAAATTATTTATTAAAAATTACAAAATTTAGAAATTGAAAAATTAAAATAACCTTTTTAGTTTAGTAAAAAAAAATTTTTTTTGTTTAAAAAAAATTGCATAAATATTTTTTATTAATTTTTAAAAAAAGCTTTTTTGATAAATTCTCTGAATAATAATTGATTTGTTTAAAAATCATCATAAAAAATTTTTAATATTTAAAAAAATTGTATAAATTTTTACAAGTAGCATTTTTCTAATAAATTCTCTCAATAATAATTAATTTATTTAAAAATCCTAAAAAATTGATCAATTTTCTTTAATTCAACCTAGACTTTGTACAATTGCCATTCGGCTGAGCCTTGGCTTATAAATCAAATAAATAAAATAATAAAAATTTCTTAATTTTTCTTTTAAAAATTATTTCCTGATTGGAAAATTAAAAAAAAAAAAAACGCATTTTTATGAGCATCAAGACAGATACCCCTCAACTTCCGAAAAAAATAAACTTTCGCTTATAAGCGATCGGATCAGATGGTGTAAACCCTATCTTATTCAAAGGATAGAGTTTCCTATCAAGTGAAAAATACATAATGCGGGTAATCTGATCCACTTGGCTTCGCACGTGCGGCAAATGCTTGATAAAACTACTCTAGCCGCTACTGTAATAGTAACCTGGACCTATAACCTATTGACTACTCTCTTTGACCTTATTGCGCCGGTTTCTAAATTTTCCAACCGAAAAATAAGAATTACAATTCACAAATTTCATCTTGAACCCAACCGTTGGGAGAAGTGTTCTGGACAATATATACAAAGTACAGGAACAATTGAGAGCCACTGGTTAGAGGGGCGCGTGCCATAAGTTCACATCTGCTGCAGTTGGTTTTACATCCCTCTTACTATACATTCATACACTGGAAACTCAACTCACTCTTGATATATTTATACATTATATTTCATGTAAATGTATGTGTATGTGTATATTTCTCTCCGGTCCGGCCCGCTCGATTCTATTCACTTTGGATCCGATTACAAAAACACTTCCGCAGGAAACTGTCTAGATCTTTCCACCGTATTTTTAAATCATATTCATAAAAAAAGTCTTAACCTGGAACCTGGCTACACTTATTTTTTTTATTTTCGAAATAACAACTTCCTTTATCGACATCCTTATTATCATTTCTCAGGAACAAATCCCGCAATTAAGGGATTACAATGCGCTTTAATTAATAAGCAGTAATTAGTGAATCTAAAATGATCAAAATTTTTTAAATAGTCACTTTAAAAATAGAAATTTTTAATGAGAAAAATATTTTTAAGGTTTAATGTTACGAAAAATGTGCTATTTTTTTTAGAAAAATTGAAAATTTTTAATTAAAAAACTTTAACTTTAAAAAATACCTCCCAAATTTTTCTCATATGGAGCCCATATTTAAGATATTTAAAAAAAAAAAAAATTCCCAGAAAACATTGCAATTTCTCGGGTCCCATTATTCCCAAAATTCCATCGGAACTTCTATTCGACAAAATAAACAGGCTTTACCCATTTTATACCTGAGAAGTAAAATAAATTCTGATGATCCAAGCGGTAATCCAACCGTCTCCAGAATCTCGATTTAAATCAAAAAAGAAATATGCAATAGATTACATATTACATATTACACATTGCATTAGTCCTACCTGGTATCAGTCCCAGGACAATTGTCATTAAAATAAACGGTAGCTGGGGGATTTTTCCTGAGGGCCTGAAGTTAAAACCAGCTAAGGCCCATTAGATAAAGAAACAATCCTTAAGAGTGGGGGGAGAGCTCTAGAGGGCCTTAGAGGCCCAACGGTTCCCGTCGAATTTTATTTCGGGGGCTGTGAACAAACAGCAGTTGTAGCCGAAGGCAACCGAGCACTCCCGAAGCTAAACAGGTAAGCAGCTGCGTCAATTCGGCTCAGAAACTGATGCCTGATGCTTCACACCGGCTGGGTGTGCATTGGTGTGCGTGTGTGCATGTGTGTATCCAATTCTTGGTAGGAAACCGACAGAGTAGCGTGTTTAAATTAGTACCGGCACAACTGTCGTACGTTTAACATGTCAGTGTCGAATAGTGAAGAGTGAATTTAAAATTTAGTGAAGAAATGTTTTGATAAAGTGACAATGAAAGTGTGGATTTTCCTGACGCTTTTCCTGGCGGTTAAAGCCGACCTCCTGGACCTTTATGTCGAAGACATGGACCAGGCGATGCGGCCCAGGGCCAGAAGAGCTCCCAAGGTGCCTTTTAAAATCGGGGATTACAAGAAGCAGAAGCTGGATGTCGATGACAACTGGACCATTGGAAAAAAGCATTTTAAGAACGAGATTTTGAATAAAGATGGCTTGGAGGTTCCTAATCTTAAGGAACAGAACCAGGACAGAGATTTCGAGTTGGTTAAGAGCAATCGGATGCTGGAATTGCTGGAGGGATTTGGAAGGAGGAAGAGAAGTGTTAATACGAAGACTGAGAAAGTTTTCCAGCCGAGTTTTGTTAAAGGGGAGATTAAGAGACAGAAGCGCGTTCGAAGGGGTGATTTGAAAGTTAAGTTTAATTTTACCAGGCACGAGGTCCTGGATGACCTTGGTGATGTCCTGCTGGAATGGGACATTTCCGGAGAAGATGTGGGATATTTTAGAGTCACTGCTAGGACTAAGGGGTACGTTGGGATTGGGTTTAATGACAATGGACACATGAAAGGAGCGGATATTATTCTGACCTGGGTGGATGACCATTCTGGTGTTGTCAATCTTTTGGTAAATATACGTTTTTTTATTTTGGTATCAGACTTCTTGATCTTTTGATGAAATATCTTTGATTAAATGTCTAAAAAAAATTATCCTCGAGACTAAATATCACATAAAATTCATGATAAAAGGGCAGAAAATGGTAACAAGCTTATGAGTTGGTAATTTAATTATTTAAGATATTTTGTCCGGGGATATTTATTATATAAATAAGCTTTGACTTTAATATTTGATGCTTTATTTTATTTTTAAAAAATTGTGATTTAAAATTGAAAAGCTTTCCCGCCATTAAATTAAATTACGCGCCAAAATTTGAATATTTATTAATATTTAGAAAAAATCTTAGCTTATAAATAAAAACTCAAAATTTTGGGCAAAAAATCTGATATATATATAAAGATAAGAAACCTTTTTTGTTAGGAATAAGATTTGTTTAAAAAGATTAGGAAAATAGTTGACCCTGAAGGCCATCCCTGCAATTTCCCGCCAATTTCATACTTAGGCGATTAAAATTTTACTTATGATGTTTTTGAGCTCTTCGAGCTAAAAAGTCTAATAAAACACTATTTTTGAATTCAAACCGCAATAACTTTTGAACAAACGAACCGATTTTCACGCGGTTCGCGGCATTCGACACAGTTTTTTTTATCTCCACAAAGAATCTTTAAGTTAATATTGATCGAACCAAAATTTTCGAAGTAATTCCAAAAAAACACTTTTTTTGGTTTTTTTTCTCTCACGATATATCTCACGAACGAATCAGCTAATTTTGACCGAACTGGCGGTGATCGACGTGGTTTTTTGATGTTAAAAGCTGATTAGTTTTTAGAATCGATCGGCAAAGCCGTTTAAAAGTCATACCGAAAAAAACCCTATTAAAAAAAAATTTTTTTTTTTAGTTTTTTTGAGATTTCTTAAAATTTATCGGTCCGAACAGGAAATCTAAGTTTGAGGAAACTCTATTGTAAAAACCATAATTTCCCGATTTTTGATATTAAGCTCATAATTTCGAATTTTCAAATGCAAAAACAATTAAATTGAAATTTGAAGCTGTTCTTAAATAAAAATTGTAAACTTTTAAAACACAAAGTGTAGATTAAGTGTTTTTGAGTATCTGGTTTTATTCGGCGTTCTTGGTTATTCGGAACCTGTCGCTGCAAAAAGAGAAAAGAGTGTTGGTAACTAAACCGGGCCCGAAAGAGTAAGAAAGCAAAAAGAGAAGAAGGTGAAAATGAATAAAAAGAGGATGAATTAAAGTAAGATTAAGAAGCCGGAGGACGGGATTTTTATAGGGACAAAGGGCGTTTTTTATGGAATAGTTGATTCTTTAAACAAAAGACACCTGAATTCCAGATTATTCGCCTTCTTGAGCGCTTTTTGTGAGAAATAATAGTTTAGTGGTCTGCCTGTGGTTTATTTTTATGGGAATTAGATAACAAAATAGTGAGTGAGATAAAAGAAGCCGGAGGTCAGACATAACCTGTATTTCTTAAACTCTTTAAATTCTTTAAGAGATTCTGAACTGGGTTCTAAGAACGGCTAATCTTAATTAAATTTATTTCCATCTCGGCAACTATCCACTAATATAAGCGACATTTCGAATAAAAAACAAATAACAACTTTAGATTGAGATAAAATACGTAATAAGTCTTATTTTTTATTCCTGACCGTGTCTATCCCCTGAATTAAAACGATACCAATACTATTATCCTTTTCCGTCTTGATCTCGATAATGATCTCCCGTCAATTCATTTTATTGTTTTTTCTTGAGAGATCCGAGGCCCGGTTGATGGATGCCCCGCAGATGGCCAGATTCGAATCCACCCGACCGGAATCCGCCCGATTGGGTCCAGGGGGTATCCTCCGTCATGCCTAAGTCAGATCACAGTGATAGACAGCCTTCGGTTGCTTTTTCAACCATTTCAATTGAATTGTTCCCGCAAATCAGTGGCACAAATTTGAATTTAGGCAATTATTAAGCTCAGTCTAGCCTGAATTTGCATTCAGGTCTTCTTTTGCTCTTTTAAAAATTCTGAAATAATTTTAAGGGGAAAATTTGAGCAGGGAAGTAAAGGAGTTGTAGATGTTGGGGCAAACGGAAGTAACGGTTGCAAAAATTAAAGGATTTATGGTAGAATAATTCGGAAGGTTTTGATTGATGTAATTATTATTGGGGAGAAAAAGGAAGTGGGTTAATAAAGTGGCAAATAGAAATTTTTTGTTAAAAATTATCATTAATTATAAGAGAATTCAACAATAATTCTACATATCTACAGTATGAAATTTTTCTCATGAATTTACCATCAAATTTCCTTCCATATGTATATACATATTGGTATTTCTCCGGCAAAGGGAATAGAAGAGTCTCACCGGGGGGCCGACGTGTCTGGAGGCCTTGGGTCGGCTGGACAAGCAGCCAGTATAGTGGTCTCATGCCAAATAACGTATTTTGCACTCTTCCTTTAGACCTTCCGAGATCTCTATCAGATATATTCTTTAAGCAGATATATTTTTTTTAATTGCTCGAAATTCATTTCAAGAATCAACTATCCCTTAGAACAATTTTTTTCCTCATCAATAAATCAAACAAACCATTAAAAAAATGGTATGATAACTAAAATAATTTTCCTCGGAATCATTGTTACCATCTTGATTCTCAACGCACCCATATTTCCCATGAATCCCCTTCTCAAGACTAAAACACAATCCTAAATCTAAATCTCAAGAATATCAAAGGATAGCATGCAATAAAAGTAATTCAAAGAGGGTGTACTCATTAGCATACTTGAAGCGACATCCTGACATAATCCAGGCGATGATTTACGACTGGTGATCTTATGGTATGTAAACCGGTCGTATCAATAAAATGAAACATACCTTCTGCTTACACACACGGATCATGTAGATGCCATCTTTATTGGGTGTATACCCAATCTACCCAATGTGTTTTTCTTCAATGCCACTTCCCTTCCATTCTTTCCGCATTAGAGACTAGAGCATACTATTTCGACGTAATGACCAAATCTGCTAGTCATCATCATCAGTCAGGTCTTCTAATCCTAATCCTCACCAGCTTGAGTTCATTTATCCTGGCCTTGAACCGAGCATATGACTAATTAGCGGCAGTGAATAATCGCGATAAAAATCAATGAGTTAACAAGGTGTTCTCTAACATCCTTCGATCCGTGACAGAATTGCGGAGCATGACGCAAGTTAGATTCGTTATTCGCAGGAAGAGCTCAAGACCCTATCACACTAACAGGTACAAGTTTAATTTATGAGATACTTAGATCCCATAAAACCTCAAAGCTGTCTGCAGGTAGCAAGCGAGCCGCGATTCAAAACCTGGCTGGGATTTTCCGTTAACTCTTTGTGTATCTAAGCCCCAATTCGTCCCAATAGAATTCCCACGAGATTTTACAATTCTGGATCTTCTTATTCAATAGATCTTCTTACTCATATTCACATTTTTTTTTTTTTATAGGATTCACACGGTGATGATGATGCCAATGCATCTCCGATCACAGACGCCTCCCAAGATGTTAAGATAGTCGAAGGCTTTCAAAACAACACCCACACCTCAGTTACGTTCTCACGGGCATGGCAAACCTGCGATCCAGACGATTATCACTTAACCGTAAGCTACCTATAAGTTTCTCTTTAATTCCAACCTTATAGCTTCCAATAATCAACAATTTTTATCTTTACCTTTATAGGAAGACAGCGTGAGGGTGATCTGGGCAATGCACGAGTCAGACCCCGAATTGAGCACCCCAGTGTGGCACCATGAGCACCGAGGATCCCGCAAGCTGAGAATCAGAGCTCCAGCGGACAGAAAAGCACCTGCTCACTCTGTTGGAGTCAGGCACTGGGACGTCAAGTTGAACCAATTCGCCGTGGACGGAAAGGACAATACTGTCTACTGGTGCAAGATTTTCGCAGCTCCGGTTAGAGAAAAGCACCATATGATCGGGGTGAGCATCTAATACCTTCCTCTTAGTCTTCTAATCCAAATTGTCCTTTTGCATTGATGATAATCCAAATCATATTCCAGTATGAGCCGCTGATAGACAAAGGCAACGAAGATCTGGTGCATCATATAATCCTCTACGAATGCGCCTCCACATCTCCGACGTTAAAAGAGCACGCACGGATTGTTGGGACTGCTTGCTATACGTCGATCATGCCCAGAGAGTGGGACTCTTGCATCCAACCTATCGTCGTTTGGACCCGCGGCAGCAAAGGTAGTGTCTAAATGATAGATTATCGTGAGGTTGTCTTCTAGGATACCGACTGATGATGATGATGATGGTAATCTGTTTCAGGTGATTGGCTGCCGGAACACGTGGGACTGCCAGTTGCGGAGCACCAAGAGGGCTCGTACTACATGTTGCAGGTGCATTACAACAACCCAGGTTTAAAGAAAGCGGTTGATAGCAGCGGAGTTAGGCTCCATTTGACCTCAGAACTTCGGCCGCAAGAAGCTGGGATATTCGTTTCGGGGATTGCTGTGTCTCCGTTGCATCTTATCCCGCCGAAGCAGAAGGAATATGCTACTGCTGGTTACTGCGACACCCGATGTACCGACGCGGTAAGTTTGAATTGAACTACCTAATTTAAATTGAACAATGCTTAACTTTGAATGATCTTTTCAGCTGCTTCCAAAAGAAGGGGTCAATGCGGTGTCTGTTGTCCTGCACTCGCATCTGGCAGGAAGGAAGATGAGCCTAAAGCACATCAGAGAAGGCAAAGAACTCCCGCATATTGTCAGAGAGAACCGTTTTGATTTCGATTACCAGCAATCCCACAGTTTGCAAGAGGAAGTTAAGATCCTACCTGGTGATGAATTAGTCACCGAATGCGTTTACGGAACAGAAGATAGAACGCGGCCAACTATGGGCGGATACGCCGCCACACAGGAAATGTGTCTGGCTTTTGTGGTTTACTATCCGCGAACCCAATTGGCAGGCTGCTATAGCACATCTCCACCAAAGGATTTCTTCAAGACTCTGGGGGTATATGATTTCAAGGGAGTTTCTTTGGACAATTTGGAGAAGCTCTTCCTGACTTCTGGGTAAGCTTCTAATCTTAATATGTTAACTTTGCATTAATTAAGGTTGATGCTGATTAATTTGCTTTCTTCCAGAACTGACGGAGTGATGCAGCCGTCTACAGTCCAACAACTTCCAGTGTACCCGGCTGTCAGACCCAGAGATGAAGTGGACCAAGAGGTGATCAGAGAAGCCCAGTCTGCTTTGAAGGCCATGGATGACTTCTCGGAAACTGAAGATGAGGACGTCATCTTCACTAGGTTGGTTATTGACAACCCAGAAGAGTTCCGTGGCAGAACTTTGGCAGAACATCTCCAAAACTTGCCCTGGACTGAGGAACTCCTTGCTAGGAGCATCGAGCGAAGCTTCTACCGGGGCAGACACATGACCTTCTGCCGCAGGCGCGACGATAAATTGGCGTTGCCTTCTGTTGTCAGGGAGTTTCCAAACTACACTGCTTTGGTGGAGCCAAAAAGAACTGTATGCTCGAAAAAAGTCGTCACTTCTGCAGGAATCAAGATTCTTCCTAGCTTGATCATCATTTTTGGGTTGTTGGTGTTCTTCTGCTGATCGGCCAGTTTTGACTTGTATATTTTTAGATTTAGATCAGATTATATTATTTGTAGACTATTTATTATAGAATTCTGGTAAGAAGATCAAGAAATCTGTGGAAAAATTTTTTTGGCATGAAAACCTATCATCTAATTTTTCCGCAGAAATAGAGTTTTGATTTTCCTTTAAAGGTAATTTTGTAAAAAGAAATATAAACATGAGATTCCAATTGTACATATTTATTTATAAGATAACTTAAGAGCTTACAAGCATAAGATTTACAAAAAAGAATATTATTTTTAATTATTCACCAGGATTTAATTTCTCCGTGTACATTTTAAGTGTTATCAAATTTGTATCCAAGATTTTTTATCTGACCTCTTATTTTATTTATTTTAATGTAAAGTTAAAAGCTATTTTTAAATAAAACATATCTAAAATATCAAATCAATATTACCCAAGAGTATTTTTAGCAACCTTGACCGATTCCAGCTTATCAGCACCGCCAGATGCTTCATAAATAATTTTATAAAGGACACTATTTTTAAATGTAAAAATAGAGTACCCAATTTTCCAGCTGATTGGACAGAGCATCTGAAAAGAGAATGATTGCTTCGGATTCTTAACCGGTACATTACGCCCCCACATTTATGATTAAACGCACGGCTCACTAAGCAAAAGGTGGTCGCATGTGTTCACCGCTGATAACTCCCGATTGGAATTAAATTGAATTATAGCACTCGCACTGGATCGAGAGTATAAATACGCGGGTTTTCTCTGCTGGAGCATCAGAGTACTCGGAACATTGGTGGAGTATCCTTCAATTCTCAACCAAGGAACCGACAATCTACAAGCAGCATCTAATTAACAGTAAGTATTGCATTACACCATCATCATCATCATCATCACTAATTTCTGCTAATTTTCCTTGCAGATGAGGCGAACACGATTCACAGTTCTACCAGTTCGTTCCTGGCAGTATGTTGGTCTGATGGTGGTGTCTCTAGCTTGCATGACACTAGGTCTAGTGTCCAGAGATCGAGCTGGAAGATCTGGAAGCCTGGCTGGACCTGAGTTGAAGCACACTGCGCCGCATGAGTAAGTCATTAAGAATTTATCATGTCTAATTCCTTTGATAACTGCTAATTGCTTTTTAATTATGATTTTCAGAGTTGACGCTTGCCCAAATGAGCTAGCCATGCTCTTTCGATCGCTTGGTGACGACCCGGCTGCCAAAGGACTTGAATATGACTACCGAATCGACCCCTACAAACTGGACCAATCAAGAATATCAAGATCCAGGTCCCTAGATCGCGTCGATGCACGACGAATAGCTCTTCGAGAAGTCGATGCTCGGTTGGAGAGTCGAAGACTGAACAGAAACTTAAGAGAAAACCAAAGACTGAACCGCGACAGGCAATTGGAGAGTCATAATAGAATCCGAAGTGTTGAGAGCCGTCAGAATCGCGGCGAAATCCGCGCTTCAGTTCGGGATCGACGAGTTGAGGAAACTCGAGTTCGGGATCTACGAAACCGAGACGTTTCGCGGAGTAGACGACTTGAAACCCGGGAAAATTCACGAGATCGATGGGTGGATTCTAGAGCAGTTGAAAGAAGGCTTGCTGAAGCTTCTAGAGTGCGTGAATCACGAGACGAACGTCGTGTGGCTTCTAGATCGTTAGATTCACGTGAACGACGAGTTGTAGAAGCATCTAGAGTTCGAGACGCACGAGATGAACGTCGTGTGGCTTCTAGATCACTAGATTCACGTGAACGGCGAATTGTTGAAGCTTCTAGAGCTCGTGAATCACTTCAACGTCAGGATCGAGTTCGTGAATCACGAGATGAACGTCGTGTGGCTTCCAGGTCGCTAGATTCGCGTGAGCGACGAATTGTTGAAGCTTCTAGAGCTCGTGAATCAACTAGACGTCTTGATCGAGTTCGTGAATCACGAAATGAACGTCGTGTGGCTTCCAGGTCGCTAGATTCACTTGAACGACGAGTTGTAGAAGGATCTAGAGTTCACGAATCGCGAGATGAACGTCGTGCAGCTTCTAGATCACTAGATTCACGAGAGCGACGAATTGTAGAAGCATCTAGAGTTCGCGAATCACAAAACGAACGTCGCGGAGCTTCTAGATCATTAGATTCACGTGAACGGCGAGTTGTAGAAGCATCTAGAGCTCGTGAATCGCGAGATGAACGTCGTTCTGCTGCTAGACTGTCAGAACATCGTGAAAAACGATCTGTTGAAGCTTCCCGAGTTCGCGACGAACGCAGGGTATCTGAAATCCGAGGACGTGATGCACGGGATCAACGTTTTTCTGCTACTAGAGTAGAAAGTCTAGGAAAACGTGAAGCAGAAAGCTCACGAATTCGCGAAATCCGTGAAACTCGAAATGAACGGAGGGTCCGTGATAACAATGCTCAACGTGCTCCTTTGATCAGCCGAATTCGACGGGAATCCATCTCTCGGGAACGGCTGACTGATGATCGCAAAGCTGATACGATCAGGGTATCAGAAGAAGATCAGATCCGACTTAACTACCTCAAGTTGCCAGAAATTAGTGCTAAAGCTGACTACGAGTTCATCAAACAGGCTCTTGTGGCTGGATTGTTCACTATCTACGCTGTTTCTATCTTCCAGGGCAAGGCTAGCTACTTCAGGTAATTTAATAAGGTTTTTTTGGCGATCTTAGTCATGTTTGATATTATTGATGTTATTAATACTGAAGCTCAAGAAGATTGAACCTCTTATGTAGTGCTGATGGTTATTTATCTCTGTTACAGGTCCATCATCCCCCAAGCTCGTCTTGCAGCCTGGTGAACATTATCTTAAGCTGAAATATTAAAATAATAACTGGCAATTCTGGCACTCTATATTTATCTATATTCTGGCCTAAATCCTAACTAGTCCTGTAGTTCCAAAAATATTTACAGCCAGATAGTTATTACTTATTATTAAAAAATTATGACTATATATTATATACTATATATTTAGTGTGATTCTCTGTATCCTGTTATTGATGAATAAATAAATATTTTTTGTCTCTTATATTACTTGTTATTTATTCAAAAATCGGAAAAGTTCTCCCTTACTCCAATTTCCGAGCTTACCTACCTTAGTTCAAAGATTTAGTTACAGAAACTGCCACAAGGGCACTGCATGCAAGTTCTGGCGTCCATTTTGATTCCAGGCGCCATTTTGTCGTGAATTACTTACTAGGTTGTGAAAGGGAAGATTAAGGAACTAAAAACTCGACAAATTCAATAATAAATTTTATTTAATAGATATTAGATTGACAAACCATTCAGCAATGAATTATAAATAACTGAAGACTTTGTACATTTATTATTAAAGCTAAATTACAAACAATATGTGCAATACTGATAATTATTGATAGAAAACGGTAGCCCGTTGTTTGTGCCTAGGTTAAAGTGAAAAAGAATGTATTTGAGCGTGAAATTCGTTGATCGTGTCAATTACAACTTATAACCTATCAGTTGAAATTTTTTCTATAAATATAAATAGTTAATAAACATGTATGATGATATCCTTAGTCTAATATAAAATACTCAAAAATATATTATTTTTAAAATAAATAAGGAATATCTAGATTCATTATAGAAATTAAATTATACTATTATTTGTGAAAGTTCATCTACTTTTGGAAGATCAACTTGATTTATTAAAAATAAAAATTTCATGGCAAGATTCTGATTTTATTATTTAGTTAAATAAAACACGGCATAATCTTTGGCAGTGATTCCAACCGACCAAAACTCCATTTTGATTGCACCCATAATTAAATGGAAACCGATCGGTTGGACATCAGGTATTTTGGCTCGCTATCACTTTAAATCCTCAAAAAAGTAACCCAGAAAAGACAGCAAAATAAAAAAATCTAGTCAAAATCTAAATACAAAATCCTAAACATTGGCGATTTCTTGAAGCATCGCCAAGATATGATCAAGTTCCTGTCTGAAGTAGCACAACTGCCTATTCTTCCCTTTTTCGCCCCTACAATCCCGGCACTGAGTCTTGCTCCTCAACAGCTCCCTCACCAAATTCTGCAGCGTCATTTCTCTGCTTTCATGCCTCTGCTGCAAAATGGTGATCTTCTCCTGCAGAAGCTGCAGCTGCTCCGTCCCCGGAGTCGACAAATATTTCACCTTCTCATTCAGCACCTTAACCTTATTCTCCAAGTGCTCCCTTTCGACCTTCAGAACCAAAACCTGCTCCTTATAATCCTTCAGTTCCTCAATCTGCTCCTTCAACCGCCCAATCACAGCTCCTTGATTACTAATCTGTCCTTGAAGCTTCACAACCTTAGAATCTCCAAACTTATCACTGTACTCCTTAACCAACTCCGCCAGTTCCCTATCATGCTCATCCTGCAGCAGATTCAAGTCATGCAACCTCTTAGTCTTCAGTCCCAAAAACTCCTTATTCACTTTCGCCAATTCCTCCTTCAGGAATTCATTCTCCTCCTGCAGACGTTTTTCTCCTCCATTTTCTTCTCCATTTTCCGAATAAACCGAAGGATCGTATAACCTAGATGTCGAACCTGTAAGCTTGCCATTGACATGTCCATTTTGATAATTAGAATTGTGATCTTCCCCCTTCATCACTCCTGAACTGCAAATCTTCCTCTCATCAACCTTAAAATTCTTCCTATCATTAACCAACTTCTCCCTCTCCTTCTGCAGCTTCCTATTCATCTTCTGAAGCTCCGCCATTTCCCTGGTCAACTTCCCGAACATCTTATCCTTCCCTTGCAGCTCCATCTTCAGTCCTCTTATGGTAGCCAACAAATGCGCATCCTCTTTACCAACTTTTCCACTCTTAGAATCTCTCCTCTCTCTTTTCTCCTCCGAATCTCTCCTCGCTTCACTTCCCCGACTCTCCACAGATGGCGCCACTTGAACCGACACATCTCTCCTCAATTTCTCCCTCTGGCTGCCCTCCCTAATCTTCTCCTCCAGCTCCTTAACCTGATTAGCATACTTCTCCTTCATTTCCACAAACTTCTTCTGCAACTCCGTTAATTTTTCCTGTCCGTACTCTTCTTTCGCTCGAATTTCCCCTTCAAGGGACGCAATTCTGTCCTCTAGGAGCCTTACCTTCTCAATATTAATCCTCTCATTGTCAGACTTTGCCGTGAGAATCAACGCAGAAACCGAATCAGGATTCTTCCGCTTTAAAATCCGCTCCATTTCCCTGACCTGCCTATTAAGATCCAAGATCTTTTTATTATCCAAAATCACCTGGTCCTTCAATTTCTGCGTCAGAACCTTCTCCCGCTCAACGTGACTCCGTGAAACCTGGATCTTCTCCAACAAACTCTGCTCCCTAGTCCTCAAATCCAGCAGCTCCTTCTCCAAAGGTCCAATCGCTTCATGGAACCTCCTAAGCTCCTCATTAGCAAACTTGAGCTTCTCATTCTTAGAATTCAGCTCAATCCGCATTTCCTCCATCCTCCGCCTACTCTCCGCTTCTTCCGCGCTCCAAGCGGTCAATTTCTCACTAATAAACCTGTCTTTGGTCTTCAGCTGCTCTTTGTACATACTAAGCTCCTCACAAACCAGACTATTCTGCTGCTGAAGGTCATCATTCTTCATCGCAGCTTCACTGTTCTTCTGCCTCAAATCCGAAACCTCAAAATTGAACTTCAAGATCTCCTCCCTCAAATCTTTGATAATATCATTCAACTTAACAGTCTCATCTTCAAGATTTCTAACCTCTTTCTTCTCCCCCTTCTCCCAAACCCGCTTTTCCTCCTGGAACTTCTTCGCCTCCGCCATCAGGCGCTTGTTCTCCCCCTCATAAGTCTTCAGCAAGCTCTCCTGCTTCTCCAACTCCTTTTTCAACAACAACACCCTCGTATCTCCCTTAGAACTAACCGGAGTTTCAATCCTCTTCAAACTAAGCTCATCAATTTGCGCTTTTAGGATAATATTAGCCTTCTTTACCGCAAAAAGCTCCTCTTCAAACGACACCCTCATCCCTTCTATCTGTTGCTTGTACTGCCTAGCCTCCGCCTCGATCTGATTCCTCAGAAGCATATTCTTGTGCTTCTCCTCATTAAACAGCACCTCCCAATCATCTTTCCTGAAGTTTAACTTAGAATCTCCTCCCGCTAATGAATTCCTCCCATCCGCGGAATCGCTCCTTTTCAACGGAGGTTTCTTCACCGGTTTTACCGAAAACTTAACCCTAGAAGCTAGAGTCGTTAAATTCGGCTTAATACTGACATTAGTCGTCGAAGAAGTGCGCTTTGATTTTGGCGGGAATTTTTTGGCATCTGTTCGCGAATTTATGTCGTCCAAAGAACGAAAGGATTTCATTGGTCTCGACAATTGATCGCAGCTTTTTGAAGGGCCTAAACCTTTCGCTTCAGGTTTTGGATTCTTAATCTTATTAACAGAATTACTTTTAGTTGCTAAATTTACGGAAACTATTTGAAGGTTTAAATCTTGGCTAGAAAATTTATCAGTCGGTATTGCAGAATTCTCGCTAAAAGCAGAGTCTGTTTTTTCGGCAATCAATTTCGGAATTGTATCGGCAAATAACTCTAATCTAGGAGTCAACCCCACGGAATATAACTCATTTTGATTATTTATGACCTTTTTAATATCAATACCGCGATCTCGGCTAGATTTCCTTGACAATTGTGAATTATCTGACGACTTACCTCCTTCTTTTCCATCTTTAGCAACCTTGGACAGCTCCCGCTCCAAAATCTCCGTGATTTCCTTCTCTGGGTAGGTTGAATTCTTGGGATCGTTGGGCAGACAAGTGATCAAGCTTTCAGCTGGAGGCTTTGCATCACTGTGATCTTGATTCTGCAGAATCTTCAAAAAATGCGAGAAGTCTTCTTGACCAAAACTTGAACTGGAGGAAATCTTCCCCTCAGCTTTGTCCTTTGATTTCCGGAGCAAGTCATCAAAGAAGTCCTTGTCAACATCAGTGATCTCCTTTCTGAGGTTCTGGTCATCCTGGCTGGCTTTCTTGGTGTTCTTAAGGTCCTCTGATTTAGAATGGCGCTCTATAGGATCATCCAGATCAGAAGAACTGGAAACTTCGACCTTCTGCTCTTCGAATCTTTGACGTTGGAGGCCAAGTCCTTTTGGTTTCAAATTCACATTTTCGTAAACTACCTCGCAGTCGGGACTAGGGGAAGTCTTCTTAGGGCTCCGGGGACTCTTGCGGATCTCCCGGTGGACTTCTTGCTCGATAAGCTGGAAAATGTCGTCCTCCAGGTTATGGGCCCGGTCCAGGTCGTCGGCTGAGCGGGATTTCTCATCGGGGACCAAGGTGTCTGATCGGGAAGCGCTTTTGGAGAGCCCTACGTTCTCACGGACGAGTTTTTCGGCTTCTTCTAGCAGTTCTTCAACTGATTTTTCTTCTTCGGTTGTTATTTTACTGGATTCGGTTGATTTTGTGCGTTCTGGGGCGGAATTCGGACTCAGGGCGCCTGCTATCTTGCTCATTTCTTCTAGGAAACTTCCGATGTCCTCGTCAGTCGCGTTCTCGAAGTCTGAGGGGTATTTGTCGAAGGCTGTTGATGCCAAGATGTCGCAGAGGGTGTCATCTTTATCTTTTGATGTGTTATTTTGAATCTAAAAATTTACAAACATTTAATTAGTAAATTTTTATGGAAGGTTGCAATTTAAAATATCAAAAAACTTCAAAAACAAATTGAGGAACCACTAAACAAAGTATTAATTAAATTAATTATTCTTTTTAATAGATAGATAGACAGATAATCTTTATTAAATTTTGGAATCTAGGCTCCTTCAGAACCATTATTAAAAATACATTATAATCAGTGTATAGAGTAAAAAGTTTGTAATACATTAAATAAAAAAATAAATGTAGTAATTAACGGAATAATATGGTAATAGTGCTATTAAATAATATCATTAGTGTCATACAAAAAGAAAAACAACATTCAATAATAGCAATCAACGTTTTATATACACGGAAAAAAAAATAAAAAAATTACATTGTATAATGTAATGTGGTGCTCCGTAAAAACTGGAAAAATTAGTTTCAGATTGCAATTATTACAGATTTTGTAAGAATAACATTGTAAAATATAAATTGACGGTCTAATTAGCAATTTGTCTAACTCTTTATTTTTTAGAGGGTGATTTTTTAATACTTTGATGTAGCAATTATCCAATTATAAATTATTTGAATGATTCAAACCTAAATATTATATCTCTTTTAGATATTAATGATATTAATTGGTTTTTTAAAGTAATAATAAATAATTCAAAATTTTCAGCTTTTGTAATTTTGGCTGGCAAATACCTACCTATACCACGAATAGTATAAATTATAGTTTAAAGAATGATAAATTAAAAGATTAAAAATAATTCTAAAATAAAAATACAATTTATTTATAAATTTTTAATTAAAAATTGTAAATTACCCTGCACATTTTTTCTTTCTCAAGAAACTCCTTCATCGAAGAATGCGTAGCATCCTTCGAAACTCTAGCCTTAGATTCTTCCACCTTGATAGGTTTTTTAACCCACCATTTTCCATCATTCTGTTGAGGCTGGTTAACAACCGGAGGCTTTTCTCTCAGCCGAACTGAACATTCGCCGATACTTAAGCTTATCGAAGAACTCAGGCTAGTTTCATCGGTTTTAGAAAGCTACAAACAATAACATAATAAGGTAAAAGACCCAATTATTGACACTGGCCTAGTTGTTTGACTCTTGCAATTTTAGTCTAATAAAAAAAAATAAAATTTTCCCAAAAAATCAAATTATCTTAAAAATTATAATTATTAATTTATTTATAACTAATTTATTAATACTTCTGAATATTTTCAATACTTTTAAATTCTTTTTAAAAAAAATAAAAATTATTAATTATTTTCTCTTATTAGCAGGATAATTAATATATTATAATTACTAAAAAAAAAAAAAAAAATAATAAATCACTTACATCGTCATCATTGATCTGTTCCTTTGTTTCACTGGTCATTATTACTAATTCTAATAATCTAAGTTATTATTTAAAATAACTTAGGTCTTATGCGTGTTTATTGTTATTAGAATCATTATTTGACACTTAATTACTTTGTTGGTTTGTTTATTTTCACTTTCTGGCTTTATCAGCGGTTATGAATCTATTTTTTTAGCCTTTTCCATTTATTCAGAGCCGCCATCTTCTTGCAGTTAAGATCCTCTGTGGTTAAGGTAAAACGCGCTATTATCAATGGCTGCTAAATAAACCACACTAGCGCCATCTACAAGTTATTCTTTACCATCCTTTTTAATTTAAATTTATTTTGCTCTCACAGATGTCACCACCTAACTAAAAATTCACCTCCAGAATTATAATGGCTATTTTCTACCTTACTTGTCGATCGGAATCTAAAACATGGCGGCGTGGAGTGGACTCCTCCGTAATACAGGGCAGATTTTGTCTGCAAGCAAGTTAATAAAACCAAGTCAGCCTCTGCAAAATGGTAAATAAAATTCTCCAGTTCTTCTTTTTAATATTTTAATCTTAATTTTTGGTCTTCTAGGCTATTAATACAATTGTCAAGCACTAGTTACGCAATTCTAACCAAAACAATTTTTGTTGTTATGATTTAACGTTTCCTTGAAATTAATGTTATTTTTTATATTTTTTTCAGCGGTCACTAGATACATGTCCGGTGGCCACCACCGAGTTTTTCCCCTCGGACCATCACGTTGGCACTGGCATAAAACAAAGGACTTGCTGCATTTCTACACCTTGATCGGGGTGGTTCCGCTCTCGATTGCCGTTTTTTGCATTAATGTTTTCATTGGACCCGCTACGCTCAAGGAAATTCCTGAAGGATATGAACCTAAACATTGGGAGTATTATCGGGTAATTTTTTTTTATATTATCTAATTTAAAAATATTCATTTTTTTATTTTTTAACTTATAAATTACAGCAAAAAAATTTTATTTAAAAAATTACATCTTTAAAAGCTTTAAAAAATTATAATTACTAAAAAATATAATTTTTAATTTTCTTAAACTAAAAAAAAAATATTTTTACTGGTTTAAAAAATTTTTAAATTGATAAAAAATTAGTTACTAATATTACTTAAATGAATTTATTAAAAAAAATTATTTTTTAATTTTTTAATTATAAAAATTTTTAAGCTTGTAATTAAATTTTTAAATCTTAAATTAAAATAAAAAAATTAATTTTTTATTTCTAAACTTGAGACAAAAATTTTAAATCAATAAAATTGATTAAAAAATTGAAATTAAAATTTATTAATAAAATACAAAATAAATTTTTTTAGCATCCAATATCAAGATGGCTAGCCCGCTACGTCTTCCCATCAGACCAGCAAGAGTACGAGAAGCAAATGTTCTTCATCTGGGAAGAGCAGGAGAAGCAGAAGCTGCGTAAGCTGGAGAACAAAATCCATAACCTGATGAACGAACGAATTGACTATCAGTACTACTACTACGAGCCTTACACCAACGCCCAGTACGTCAGAAGACAGGCCCAGGGTGAACAGGATCAACAGATTTACAGTCAACCCTTTGAATAATTGCTCTGTTACTGTTTCTGGAATTAAACAGCTTAGAAATAATGGTTATCATAGAAATATAGTTCAATTCGACTATTCTTTATTGTACAGTGTCTTAATAAATTATTTGATAATCTATCATTTACTTTAAGCCTATATTTTATGATTGTTTTTATTTTATTCCCTTGAATTAAGTGATTGTATTAATTGACTTTTATTTAAAAATTATTTTTGAAATTTTAATAAACTTTGTGAAATAGACTGTTTTTTTCGGATGTAACTGGTCTTGTGAAGTTATTTATTAAAATTTTTTACAAAAATGGCCTTTTTTTTTGCTATTTGTCTGGGTGGTGCAAAAAAACTGACTATTTTTTTTTTTTTTTTTTTTTTTAGAGCCCCCAGAGTCAAAAAATGCTAATTTAATTAAATAGTCACTAATAAATTTAAAAAACATTATGAGCGACCTTTTAAAATTGATATTTTGAACTGAAACTTTCAGGAAAACTTTTTTTTTTGGTCTATAAAATTATGACGTAACGAGAAAGAGAATTAAAAAAAAAAAAAAAAATTCGATTTTCGACAATTTTTTAAATTTAAAAAAATTTTGAGCGACCTCTTAAAATTTTTCTTTTAAGCTGTCCTTTGGAGAGATTTCTTAAAACATCAAAAACTAACATTTTTTCACTCGAGATTCAAAAAAAAAAAAAAATAGTCGGTTTTTTTGCGTCACCCTAATATCTATATATTTGTCAAGTTGAATCTTTTCAAATTTCTTCTTCTAATCAGGGCTATGTTGGGCAATTGTCTTCCACTTTTTACCAGCTATTTTTATTATATCATTATTCCGTCAAATTGCCGTTCTAAAATACTTAAAAAGAAATTTTTCTCTTAAACCAATCTAATTTTTTCAATGAATAATAAAAAAAAAAGTAAATAAACCCCCGAAGAAATATCTAAAAAATAAACTAGCAAAATTTTAACCCACCAACTTTCTGTAAAAAAACCATGCACACCTTTGCCTATAATCTAATCTAATCTCCAAACCTTATCAAATCACCCATCCAGTGATTCTAATTCAAATTAAATTGAATTAACCCTCCCACTCGCTTTATAATTATAAAACCCGTGACGTAACCAACCAATGACGGAATCGGTACAAATATAGAAATCCAAAAAACCTCTCGGTTTTTCAGCAAGGTCTAGACGGTTAAATAAACAGCGGAAACATCTCTCTCGCTCTCAATAAGAACAGTCCTTCCGCCCATCTGCCTCCGTCTTCCTTCCAGGTCGTCGGGTCTCAGGTATGTGTCTCTTTTTTTATTTTTTACCTGCCTCATACTTTACCCCCCCCCCTCCCTTCTACTCCCAACCATCACAAAACGATTCCCAGTATAGTTACAGCTGTGTAAGACAAAGACCTCCTTACAACCGGTTGGTGTGCACTCACACCATCACACCAGGTAAAATGTGATAGAGGTAAATTCTCAGAGTTAGTCTCGAGTCTCGCGTCGGGCTTAACGCACGTATTTTTTCTATTTATTATTATTGTTTCCACAAATTGTTTATCTAAAAGTGGATATTTTTATTTAATGAGTGTTATGGTCAAAAATAAATATTCAAATTATCCCGCCGGCCATGCGTGACATCAAATGGCGGCCCATGTCCAAATTAAAAATAAAAAATTCTATTAATTAGTGAATGTGATGTGAATTATCATTAATTTAATATTTATTTAAATAAAACTCTTTTATAGATTTTTTTTAAGTATTTAAATTAAGTCCGACGCCATTTTGGTCGCTCGTTGAAATCTCCGGTGTTAAAATCGCCATTTTCGTAACTAATGACTTAGTCGGTGAATTTTAATTTAAAAAAATGGATAAATTACCTTTAAAAATTGGTAAGTTTATTTAAAAAAAATAAAATAAATTTTTTTATTAAATAAAAACAATGGGCGTCGTCCATGGTCATCTAATGCAAATGTGGGTGGCTGCATAAATTTATAAATTTATAAATTAACATAAAACACATAGAATATTATGCAATAAAAAAATAAGCTCAAGGATTGTAATGATTTGAAAATAAATTTAAAAAAGCGTCGCCTTGGAACGTCTTCTCGCCTTAACGAGAAGTATACTCCTCTTACTCTCAACGTACTTACGGCTTTACACGTAATACCTGTAATGATACGTCGCCAAATACGTCAAGGCTTCGGTACGGTCTACAAATTTTTTTTATCGATTTAAAAAATGTTATTTCATTTATAATTGTCTTTATTCTGTTATTTATAATTAAATGATATGGATAGTGATAATAATAAACGGTAATTTTTTTATTCACTAGTTTTTTTCAACGCTTCAGCGCGTTCAAATTACTCTTCCACGGTAGATTGTTGATGGTATGGCCACTTTATTTATAAAAAGTACGGTTACGCAACTGAATGATGATGAGCCTTTTCGGTTGATGGACCGAAGGAGCGATCACCTGGCGTGTGAAAGATTTTATTAGACAAGCTTTTGGATTTTTTGGACTTTGATGAGAATTTTGGATGATTGGTTTGATTTTTGTTAAAGTAATTAGACAATCGGTTGGTACTTTGTTTTATATCACGTATTTAAGGAACGTAAAAAGTGAACGCAAAAGTTTGCTCTCGCGTGTGTGTATTAACTTTCTCCCGGGTTAAGTATTATAGTTTGTTATTATATGTGTGGATAATTTTTATAAATTTATTCTTGATGATTATTATAAACAAGCTTTAGAGATTTTTATTCGGAAATTTTTAATTGGTTGAATTAAAGATCTAAAAATTAATGTATTTTTTTTTTAGGAAGAAATAGAAAAGTTTTAGTCATATAAAAATAAATTAATTTTTTTTTAAATTAGTAAAAGAAAAATATTTTTTTAACAATTTTTGGCCTTTAAATTTGTTTTTAACTTAGTTTAAATATTAGCGGGTATTTTAAAATTTTTTAGTTCTTGGTTTTGCCGCTAGGTGGCTACGCTCTCTCGCTAGCAGAAAAATCTTACCTAAGTATATATTAACGCAGAATTTTTTATAAGAATTTTTTGTATTTAAATTAAGTTATTTAAGCTTGATTTAAACTAAATTAGCGGGTATTTTTTTGTTATAAGTTAGTTCTTGGTTTTACCGATAGGTGGCTACGCCCTCTCGCTAGAAAAAAAATTTTACCAGAGTATATATAAGTGCAAAAATTTTTTTTAGAATAAAATTCATTATAAAAGGACTATTGCCAATAAAATATTGTACATTGTATTGCAATCAATGAAATTAAACAAAAAAATAGAATTTTATTCTTAAAAAAAATTAATTAATTAAAAAAAATCATTTTCAGTCCTTTTTGTCTTTAAATTTGTTCTTTTTTAGCTTGGTTTTAAAATTGGTCGGTATTTTTTATTATAAGTTAGTTTTTGGTTTTGCCGCTAGATGGCTACGCTCTCTCGCTAGCAGAAAGATTTTACCAGAGTATTTATAGGAGCAGAATTTTTTTTTTTTACGCAAAATTAAATATCAAAAAAATTATAGATAGTAAAATATTGTATATTTTATGATAATAATTAAAAGTTTTTTTGTATTTAAAAAATTTTATAGAAAAATTATAAATTTGAATTAAAATTGTCAATAATTTAATCAATAACATTAAAAGATAAAAATTGACATTGACTTGGAATCGAACCCGGAACTTTTTGACTATTACTAAAACCTAATAACACTTCTCAAAGCCTAGATAATTAAATTCACCCAACACCACATAAAACACAAATTACACACATCTGCATAACATTATACTTATAAAAAAGAAAAAAATTAATCGATTAGTGGATAATAAAGCATAAAACAATTTTCTAACAAGCCGAGCGGTATTAATATCTCTATTGTATGTAATTTAAAAGGAAAATATTCATTACGTAAATCTACATAAAATAGTTAACTATCGAAATGGTAATTATTTATTATTCATGTATGCCTATGTTAAAAATTTTATTCTCTAAAAACTTGCAAATTAGAGAACCCGATTTATATGTGGTACTGGCATTAGACGGAATTAATTGAATAATTATATTATTAAATTATTAACTGCTTTCTCTTTTATTTCAGGTATGAACCAGTGGAGTTACATTTTTTTTTGTATATCGGTAAGTCTACTTTCAATATAAATATCGATAACACACCGGCAATCTAACACTCATTTTTTTTATAAATAATAATTCTAATAAAAATTATCCTTAGCTTTAAAATTTTATATTTTGAGTAAAAATTGTATTTTTTCATAAGAAGTAATCAATTTTGAATCTAAAAAAAAAAATTATAAAGTAATTATTAAATAAAAAATAAATTAATAATATAAAACTCAAAATTATTTATTAAGACTATCGATTTCTTCAAATGATTCACACTTATACTTTATAATGATATGGAAATCAAGTCAGGTAGAAATATTAAATTCTATCCACGTATATTTAATGTGTATGCGTATATTCTACCACAGATGAATGACTAAAGAATAAAAGCCTAAAGAATGTTAGGTTACACAATTGAGTTGACATAATAGTTATTTAAAAGTTGAATGCCCAAAATTCTTTGATCAATTGGCTTTTCTTCTCTATTATCATATTAATTGACTGATTACAATATCAAGTACACACCTACACATTAAAGCGGTCATAAAAATAATGACTAGTAAAATTAAATAAAAACTGATGAACAGGTACTTGATATTAATATGAGCTCCGAAAAATAGTACGGTAATTTGTCTAGTCTGAGAAAATTACAACGCACCCAATAGACTGCAGCGCCTAACAAGGTTAGGTAATGCCCTGTAATTTTTACCTCGTTGCGTAATCCAGAAATTTAATATTACTTATTTTAACTCGAACCATAATTCTGTGGCCTAGTGAACAATCCGACGCGCAATTGTGTCGCGGTGTGAATCCGTTTGTGGTAATCGCTACATTTAGGTGTTTTATTATATTTATTATTAACCGTATCTTCTTTGTTAGTTTTT